TGTGTAATACTGTATAGTTTTGGGGAGTGTGGCTCAGAGGTCGAGTTGGTTGTGGGTCTACTCCTGTCCATGTCTTTAACACCCGCATGAAACAAAAAGCAGAGCACTGTTGGCTTCCGCATATTTACACGTAGGCAGGTGGGGAGGGACTTGTCGCAGATATTGATTGACAGTAGCCAAAGGCACTCAGCTCAGTGTGTGTGTTACGTCCCCACCACTATGCAGCAAGTGCTATGACCTAGCATCCGAGACAAGGTGCCAGTTTGACAGGGAATATACTACCAAGTTAGTTTTCTTGCTGTGTTTGGCTACTGGCATCCTGGGGTTGAGTCAGTTAGGTTAGCTTCAGGCGGATGAAGCTAACGGAACTAAGCGTTCCACTACTTAGCAATCCTTCCATTTGGACCTCAGTACTGTGACATTATTCTCTGTGGTCTTGCAGGCTGTGTTTGATCCTGTTCCAGTACGGCTGCTGAGGTCGGTTCTGTTGCCAACTACTGTTAGCAGCAGTTAATTAAGGGTTAGCTAATGTTACTTTAGCAAGTAGTTAAAGGTATCTGTCCATTGGGAAACTCTGTAAGTTCTGAGTTTAAACTAAGCAGCCGGAGGACATCAGAGGGAAAACAGCAAAATATTTTCTCCATAAAATATGATCCAGTCCAGCAGCATCATAATCGAGAAAGCATTTCATTGGACGCAAAATTAGTACACACCCACGAGCAAAGGATGAGTCATCAACTACTTTTTATAGTTTTTCAGGGAAATGGCAAGCTCTAAAATACCATAAAGAACACTTATACCTTTAGCATGAGGCATATGAGATAAAAAGACTTAAACATCAATTTTGACTTCATGGGGACTCCATATTACTCCTGATGTTTAGGCCAGCACCTTCCATGGCCTTTAAATCTAAGCTGCAAACGGATCTGGTCTGAACTTTCTCAAAACCTCAAGTCTTGTACCTGCTAATTACCCATCCGCCGGGTCGTTTCTTAGTCTCAGTGAATCTATTAACATTAGGATTTATAGTCCATGTTTGTCCTCTAAGCTTTTTTTTTTGCCACAATCCGCCAAGCTAAGTGTTCTCACGGCTCTCTTATCTCGGTCTCTCTCTCCCTAGTTTCTCCCTTCCTAGTCGGACTGCTTTTCTGCCGACGGTCGGCCATCCGGTTGGTGTGCGGAGGCCAATGCCGTATGCTTTACAGAATGTAAAAGTCCCTTGAGGCATATTGTCATTGGACATTTACAAAACCAGATAATACAGGCAGAAATAGAACAACAGTAATTAATTATACAGATAAAAGAATACATTCATAATAAATACACTGCCAAGAACCAGGAAAAGCTCATTTAAAGAGGTGAGTTTTCAGTTGGAGTAGTACTTCAAAAGAAATGCAGTATTTAACTGGGAGCTAGTGTAGTTGCTGAAGGGGGTGATATGGTCCCAGGGCTGTGTGTGGGAGAGAACTCTTGCAGCTGAATTCTGAACATACTGTAGTCTGTTTAACCCTTGATTGGGTACAGCAAGGAGAAGGACATTAGAGTAATCTAGTGAGAACTTAATAAAGGCATGAATCAGAGTCTGTACAATAGAGTGGGAAAGAGAGGGCCGTAGTGTGGAGATGTTCTTCAGGTGGAACCATGAAGTTTTGGTGATATTTTTGATATGTATTTCAAAACAGAGGGTAGACGTTACACCAAGAGTTTTCATTTCAGTGACAGAGGATGTAATAAAACCAAATCAAGATGCAAGACTTTGTGAATGTGCTGGGGAAACAATGAGGATAGCCTCGGACTTATTCTGATTAAGTACTTGCTGATCATCCAAGCATTAATATCATTTAATAACATTGGTGTGTGCATATAGTTGCGTGTTGTCAGCATAGCAGTGAAAATTGAGCGCTCTATCATCAGGCTTATATGTCCAAAAGGTAGAACCTTAATGGTCCAGTAATGTTTTGTGATATTGGGCTATACATTGTTATTATATATATTAATATTTTACGTATATACTTATATATGTATGACGTTGACTAATCTCATCGTGTGTGTGTGTGTGGTTTTAAAATTGTGCTTTTGATGAATGCAGTCATTTACTATCTAGATTTCTTACCTCTTAACGCTGCAAAATCAGTCAAAGTCAAGGAAACAAGAGTCAAAGATGTACAACAGTTCCACACAAAGCCAATAGCACTGTGTGTTTACATTCTCCAGGCAAGCAGTATAGCGGATCCATGAACTGTCTCTGCTGGGACTGGGGAGCTCCCAGTGAACAGCACATCTAGACCTGGACTGAATGTAGCATCTGATGCGACAGGGGACAGTTTGATGACAGGGAATAAATTCAATTCAATTCAATTTTATTTGTATATATGCCAATTCATAACAGAAGTTATCTTCAGGACACTTTTCAAATAGAGGCGTCTAGACCGAATTCCTTTTAACATTTACAGAGACCCAACAGTACCACATGAGCAAGCACTTGGCGACGGGGGCAAGGAAAAACTGGCCTCTTACTTTCAATAAATACGAACACCTTGGTTTGCTTGCCGGGTTTGGCTTCCTGCCACCCCAGGGCTCAGTCAGGCTAATGTTAGATGCACAAGCTTTACTTTTAAGCAACAAGTCTTGTCTGGAAATCAGTAAATCACCTCGGTCCCGCTGCTTCAAACTATCTTTTGTCTGTCTCAGAGGTTGTGTTCACTGGAAGGCTGCTGAGCCCCGTTTGGTTGCATGCTAACAGCAGCTACAGCAGCATGTAGCGGAGTTGAGGAGAGCAGCGGAGGATGTCAGAGGGAAAACAGACTAATTTCATCCATAAGAATATGATCCAGTTTTACCCAAATGACTGATAAAGTTGTGCTTTTGTATAAGTGGTAACGCTGTGTTTGTGTATCAGTAAGATGAGATGTAGCCCTCCGTACACACTCCGCTCCAGTAACTAGCCATGCTGTCGCTAGCTAGCTATCTAACTGAATCTTCGCTCAGTATCGCTAAAAGTTAAAGACTGATTGACGGGTGAATGCCATGATATTGTTGGTTAAATCCGGTGACGTCCCGTGCAGTTGTAGCCGTTGCATGAGATCTCCTGCGGTTGGTTTTCAGTAGCCTAATATTTTATTATTGTGGTTATTGCAAACAGCCCTACCAACAATAACAAAAAAATACAGGTTTCTCCTGGTGGCTCATTTAGCGCTGATGCTTGATTCTACTTAAATAAAACTAAAAACTCTGCTGCATGTCGTCACTCTCTTAATTTTTTCTGTCTCTCGTCAGCTTTATAATGAAGTCAGTGGGAATGAATACTGTCACATCAAAACAAACATGTATATATATGCAAATATTGCAGATTATTACTTGAAAGCAACCAATGTGTCAAATCATGGAAAATCCATTAGAAAATGTTAAGCGGACAACTTGTGAGAAAGAAGGATGATAGACAGGGTGAAAAAAAGTGGTGGAGGACACAAGAGGTGAAAGTGAACTGTGACAGTCGGATGAATCACAGACACACCTATAAGAGAAAATTAAGGCTGCAGCAAAACAAATTGAGTGAGCCACTTTTTGTGCTTTACAAAACCTTTTTGCAACCAATGTAATGCACTCCTTTCATTAAATTAATTCAACAATAGTATTTCACGCTTGCTTTGTTTACCCTGGCAAAGGAACGATACAAACATGTTGACTTCCTAGTCATTTTAAGCAATTCAAAAGTTCCACCGAGAAACACTCAACGAAATTACATTTTACATTTTGAGTGCCAACTTTGATAAAATTCCTTGTGGAAAGTTTTGCCCAAATCATTTTCTTCACAGTGCACTGCCTTGCTGCTGATAGAAAATAAAAGAGAGAGAAGAAAGTAGGCAGTGAGGATTAATGAGAGGGAAGAACGAAGCGAGAGAGCGGAAAGGAAAAAAGGAAGAAAGAGAGAGGAGACGCTGCTAGACATCAATTATGACAGCTGACTTTTTGCTAGAGCTACCATGTGGAAGCTGTACGAGAGAAAACGTGCATGGTGCGTGAGGTGGTAATTTGTGTACATATTTGCTTAATCAATGTAACTGAAAAACCTTTTACTTCAGTTCTTCCCTACAGCATTCCCACTCCACCTCCTCACTCACACAGACACAGATGCAGTGCTGTTGTTGTTCCAAGGGATAATCACGGGTGAAAAATGTTAATGGTGTTAACGAACAAGCTGGCTGACTTCTGAGGGTCCCCTGCCTCCTAGACACTGATGACTGATTAAAGTTGAAAAGGTGAGCAGAAGAAAAGCAGTGAGGCAAACCCCGGATTCAGAGTGAGACCAAATTCCTGCTTGGGTGGAAAGAAAAAATTATGAATAGCAGCCAAAAAACTGGCAGAGCTAATGTGGATAATTGGGACTGAAGTGCAAGGAAATTGAGATATTAGACAATAATGATTGTAGGGGAAAGGGTGACACAGAGAAATAACTCAACGTTTAAAGTTTCGTATTTTGACATTTTGATATTCTGAATCTAGATATGAAATCTTAAAATTAATATGCTATAGGCCAAAAAATGATAAGAGGACTTTGATGTCCCCTTTGCTGACTGCTGCCTGGGCTTCAACTGCCTATAATATATAACTCTTATCGAGCTGTGAGAAGCCATTTTTCTAACTTGCCTCCTTGTCACCAGTGATATACGACCAACTTTTGTCTCACTTGTCTTTTCTGTGGGATGTGACTAAAAGTGGGTGATGGGTCTATTTTCTGGCTCTCCTTCCAACCCTGATAAGAACACCAATATATTTTAATGAAACGCTGTTGTTTT